AAATAACACACGTTTTGTACCCTCAACTATTTGTACCGGACAAATACCCCCCCCAAGTACTATTTTTAGCGGCTTTGACTTGATCTAGCACATGTGACGCCAGCAAAGAGAATAATAAAAAATTATCTGGGCCCATATGTCATCTCTATCCCTCAGGCCAAGCCCTCCCAAGGAGGCGGAGTTGGAGGGAGTATTTCTATTTCAGCAAAGAGAATAAGATGAATAGTTAAACGTGTTTAAAAAAAATTAACGGCCTCATATATTAAAAAACGGAGGGAGTATTTCTATTTCTAGGTTAAGTTGCATACCATTGTTGATTGATTTACCAATGATTCCAACACCCTAAACTGGCCAAACCAAGTATCAGAATATCTAGCTTAAAGTTGCATACCACTGTTGATTGATTTACTAATGATTCAACACCCTAAACTGGCCAAACCAAGTATCAGAATATCTGGTACATAGAGCACATTGGATGCTTGGATCATGGATCTTAGTTCAGTTTCGGAAGAGAACAGAGCGTGATCTCTATTTATCCAATCGATCGGACCGATCCCCTTCTCCAATGAAACCAATACTAGAATCTCAGAGTCATCAATGAACCATTTATGTAATCATATTTAGTTTGAGACTGTCAGCATAAACAGTCCATTGAATTGTTCGATCATCCGATATATAGGATGATATGGAACTTAGTGTTATCAGTTACCAACGTACCTTTTTGTGTAGCAGTTAATCTGCTAGGAATTCATTTTAATTTTCATGGTACAAGATTATTCTACTGTACACTGGCACCAAATTAAAGAGTAGAAAAAAAACTCAGAAACAAAAAAAATGATCCAATAAAGATGCATCGCCCTACTCTATAATAGTATCAGAGCTTAACATTATCGATTAATGGTCTTGCGTGTGTTCATATATTTTGCTCTTACTTCAAGCTAAGGCTCCCTGTTTAATGTCTTTGATGCGAAGCACAGGGCAGCATGGCAAATCTGTTTGGCAAGGTTTATGGTCTGCCCAGCCGGCAGCACTTGGTACGATAACGGAGAAGCGAAGAACCGCGAGAGGAGCTCTTCTCCGTCTCTGTGCGATTGTCTTCTGTTCATGTCAAAGACGATGGCGCTTTAAGCTGGATGAACAAGAAGAAGAGGCGAGGGCTCAACTAGTTATTAGCGGAGAAGTTTTAGACCGAAACATGGTGGATGGGGACTTATCTATGTTTTCTATCCATGACAATGATGGGGGCTAGTTACCTGACCTAATGCTAGATAGATCAATTGAAAGACAGAGCTTTATACAGGTTTGGGCCCTTTTTCTAGAACTAATAGTTCTGTTTTGGTGGATTATTTTCTCGCCTATTAATTGTGTCGAGTTGTGTGTTGCCCTCAACGAACACTTCTAAGAAGTATTGTGTCTTGATGCGTCTATTTACATGCATGTGTCCTGACCAGTTTCTTTACTTCCAGAAAACAATCCTTTGCATAATAATATTTGTACCGATTCCATTGGAACCAATCCTTCTCAGAAAATACTACCATTCATTAGCCATGTTATTGCCTTTTTTTGAGCTACCTGTCGACCTGACAGTAATGGAAGGAAAAGCAGTTGCTGTTTCATTATTTCAAACTCAATCGCATATATGCAGCTATATGGGCTATGGTTTTAAGTAGGTGAATATCTCATTGGTGGACATACTCTTGCTTCAATCTTTCTTTGTGGTATAGCATTTGAGAAACATCAATTCTAATGTTGGTTAAGTGTATAATTGAAGAACTAGCATACCTTCAGGTTTCATGAAACATTACTGTTTGCTTACGAATTTTCATGTGCCATACTTGATATTTGGTGTCAAGTTTTTCTTTCTCAATTTACAAAATTCAAATAGACCTTGCCATATGACAATTTGAAATACTTGAATATGAATCAAATTTAGATCTCCTTTTTGCCCGCAGCAACGCGTGGGGTGCTGACTAGTTTGTATTGATTACCTTATTCTTTTTAACCAGCTTGGACATTTTTTATTGGTTCAACTAGATGCTTTGTATAATTGCTTAGTCATGCTTAGAAACATTAGTATCATTTTATGCATGAATAACTAATGAATCACTTATGATTAATGATGGTTAATTAATGATAGCTCATGATGGTTAGTCGTGTTTAGTTAATTAATATTCATATTAAAACTTGATTAATGATGCGTTGTGAGCTCATAGTTGTGTTGGTTGTACAAATGATAATTAAGAACCGACCCGCAAGCTACTAGTGTGAAGCATTTATCGTACTAACCACAAGCCAGCATGAGCGATGACTGGACTATTTTTATAGCATGATTCATTGTGAGGTACCAGACTGAGAAGTGACAGAGATAAGCCCATGGGAATCGCTGGGGAGTCTTTTATGGGTTATGGATAGATGACAATCCGGGAATGGTTAACTGCTTTGAGTTGTATTATGTGAAAGATCTTGTCACGATTTTTCCTTTATAGTACCATGGTATTATCTCGGGGCATGGCAACATGTGTGGAAACATATCTTGTGGGTACATTGCTACACCTCTAGCTAGAGTAAAACTATTCGAATAGTCATGCCCAAAGTTATGGGCAAGCCTAGCAAATGCTTTTCGTGAGTAGTCCCACACTACTCATTAGTGACTAAATTGGTGATGATAATTTGTTAGCTCTTGTTATGGAGTTTATATCTCTTCAGCCGAGTTTGATAGTTCGGAGATGGTTTGGGCCTTGTATGTTGTATAGTGTTAATCAACATTGTTATTTAATTAATCTACTGTTTTACTACTCTTAAACGTGTACTATATGTTACATTTGGAAACAATCCCTATCATGCCATTCTTTGTTATCCTGTGCATCTGCATATTTGTTATGTGGCTTGCGGAGTATTTCATATGCTCACCTTTAATCATCAAACCACAGTTGGAGAAGTACTCTGAAGGAGAAGACCTTTGGTTTATAATCTAGTTGAGCTACCTGTGGAAGTGAAGTTGAAGACATCGCTAGATCGTCTTTCCCATATTGTTTCCTTGTGAGTATTATATTGGACCTGAACGAGAATAGAATGCATAGATTAGTTTAAAATTACTAGTAAATTTCCAAGCATGACAAACAAGACAGGTACAAAATGACAGATCCAAGAGAGGTGATGAGGGCATGAGGCAGATTGAGACAATCAAGAAGAACGGAGGATGGAGGCAAGCAAATCCGAGGGACAAACCTTGCAAATGGCGACTGTTGTTGCCTCCAGAACCCGACATCGAGTCGCTGGGTCCGGGAGCAGCTGAGCCATAGCCACCAGCAGGAGAAGCGTCGCCGCCTAGAGAGTCCGAGCCACCGCGAAGGTTGGTGGCGCCGTTGACGCTGACTCCGGGAACAGCTAAGTCTTCGACGCAGGCAACAAAGTAGAGCCACCGACGACGGCGTTGAAGGGTTTTGGACGACACGGTTAGGCGGACATGGGAGCAATGGAACCCTAGTGTTGACGTACAAAGGAAGCTGGCATATATCAGATATATAGCTTGCATCATAACTTATTTTGTTTTATAATCGCTTCTGTTACTGAATTGTTATTCAATTCTTTTTGCGTGCTACAAGGCAAGATGACACTTGGGGGCAAACCTCCCTCATAGCCTCCTAGGTTGATGGGGTGACCACCTACGGTGCATGTCTCGTGGCATTACTCCACATATTTTTTTTCGTGGCACCCCAAACGCTCCCACATATTTGGTCGGCAGTCGCAGCGGTGGGAGCAGAATCTTGGACTGCCGTGAGACGGCGATGAGGCGTAGGCCAGAAGAAGCAAGACTCCGGTGGGCTCGTCCAACATCAGCAGGAGCTTGCCGTTGTTGATGCAGTCCAAGCAATGCTTCCCCTGCATCTCCCTGAAATGCTTTTCCATCTAAGCTTCGGTCGGACATGTGGACAAAAGTTTGTGCTTGACTATGGTGTCCATGGCCTGCATCAGCCAAAGCCTAGTGCCAAAAGCCGCGGCAGCGATCACTCTTCACCTGGGGCTTCCTAGTGGGCGCGCAAGCGCCAGCTGCTCAACTCGCGCTGCGCAATCCCCACCCCCGTAATCAGCATTAATTACCATAATCAGTACTATTATTTAAAAAATACATAATGAGTATGTAAAAATCAACACAGAAAAGGATATGATAACGAAACATGTAAACATTTTCGATATCTTTGTTACATATTATTTGAGCAATGATACCCTATAGTTAGAAAGCTCACAAACAGCTTACTGTTACACTGAAGCAAACTATTGCTTTGCAATACCCACACCTATTAAGGATCCTACCGGCATTGTTTATGAAGACAAACTGTATATAAATCATTGTGTCTTAACACAGAAGAAATCGTCTAGAGAGAAATCAGTTGTTTTATTTTAGACTTGAAGAAGAGAGCCATCAGTATGTTCCAAAGCGAGCTATCAATGGTTTTTTTCATCTTACCAATGGACTAAACATGGACATCGAAGATGTGTTATCTCTTACTACATTTTCCAAGTAACCCATCCCCATGAGCTTCCTCCAATTCATGGTTTTCCTTCAATTGCAAGACCACGGCGGACATCATTAGCCTTTGAGAAGCAATATCTGTTATGCACATCATCATGGCATCTAGAACCTTCCACATGGAGTTGAAAATATAGGAACCTCCTAGACGTTCATCGGCAACTGAGGTGATGTTACCAGTGACAATCTGCATCATGTGCTGAATGATGTGGCCATTTCCAGGTATTATGGGAAGTTCACCGATAGTTACCTCTAGTAAAACAACACCGAAGCTGTCAACGTCACTGCTGTCAGTAAGCCTATCGGTGATGTAGTGCCAAAAAATAGCCCATATTGATAAACATAATGATAGCGCCAAGTGATTAAGGATAATATTGTATAGAATCACTAAAATATATGAATATGCAGCACAAACGAGTCACCTTAGCTCAGCACGAACGCTCATCACAAATGTCTAGATCTGTACTAGTGCTGGAGCATACAAGTACTAATGATAGATTATGTGAAATAGGACATAAGAAGCAATAAGGAAATGTGCAAACAATCTTTGCTAAGGATTAATTGGAGTTGTAGTATCAGAAGAATATTGGAGCTAATGTGAGTAATAGTTGACACACATAGATAGATGCAAACTATACATTATGGGCCATATACACACCTATCATGATCCTTCCATGACATCTATGTTTTATACTGGCTGTCTCAATTATTGACATTAACAAAACAAACAGGCTGTGCATGCACATTGTATATATCGTTATAGACTTGTCACAGGGATCCATCAATGTAGTGAAAGCCAAGGCTAGGTATGTATTATTTAATCATCTTGCCGATGGACCAAATGTCGACATCGAAGACATGGTATCACTTGCTAGGTTTTCCTTGTCTCCTCTGTCCCCTTGAACTTCCACCAAGTCTAGGCTTTCCTTCAGCTGAACAACCACGTCAGCCATCTTTGGCCTTTGAGTAGCTATATCTGTTGTGCACATCATGGCGATGTTAACAACTTTCCACATGGAGCTAACATTGTAGGCACCTCCAAGATGTGCGTCTGCAACTGAGCTAATGTTACCACTGACAATCTTTTTCTTCACACGTTGAACAATGTGACCTTTTTCAGGTATTATAGGAGGCTCGCCAGTTGTTATCTCTAGTAAAACAATGCCGAAGCTGTAAACGTCGCTGCTCTCGGTGAGCCTACCAGTGGTGTAGTACCTAAAATTGACCCGTGTTAATATATGTAGAGATTGCATAAGTGATTATAGTGTGTAGAAGAGATTCATACTCAGAGTCAATATAACCCATAGATCCAGCTGCAACGGCTGAAATATGAGTTCCAAAATCTGCTATTTTTGCTTTAAAATTTTGACCCAACAGAATGTTGTTCGTCTTCATATCCCCATGAATTATTGGCAAGTTGCAACCCTTATGGAGATAATCCAGGCCTACAAATAAGGAAACTATAGTTAGAAGAAAAGATGAGCCATAACACTTTTGCTTTGTTTTTTTTGCCTTGCTATTATAGAATACCTTGTGCAGCTTCAAGTGCAACTCTTACGCGTGTCTTCCAATTCAAATTTTCTCCCATACCAATTTTCCCTTTTAATATATTCACAGACAAACAGTTAGAAAGGAATTCTACGAGCAACTTCAAATAGCAATTAAGGGAGTTGTAAAACACTCGTCTCTTGTGTGTGTGCACACATCGGCAGGGGGAGCAATAACATAAATAATCAAAATAGTATTGTCCCTTTAACAACAAAAAGTAGTTAATGCGGTGATCTCTAAGAATCATACTAGATATCACTTTGTATCATAGGGACTAGCAAAGCACAGATGTAGATTACACCTATAAAAAAGCTTGTACATCACATATGCATTCATGTCTTAAAAATCAGTCAAGATGGATTTTCATGTCCAACTAATTGAAAACAATTATTCCATATGCAATTATGTTTAAAATATTTACATGATGTGTGAATCAATTATGTTGAGAATGAAACAATGAACAAATATGACAGTTCTAAAAAAAACAATGACGACAAAACTTCTACAAATGATTGGAAATACAAGATCAAGATACTTCCTTAAAGATGACAACTAAATTTGTTGTCGTATCTATAGTGAGTTTAATTAACGAAGGCCATGGAGTTCCCTTATGTAGAGATTGCCAATATGCCGCCACTAAACAAAAATCGGTATCTTTATTTTTTAAGAAACACATATAGGCACATTACTAAATAAAGTGATAATTAAGTTCTCACTTGTAACTGTGGTCATTCCGTGTATTAAGTACTTATAGTAGTTATTGTGCTGCAAATTGCTTCGTACATCTATAGGGAGCATGTAGAACATTAAGTTAGTTTACGCTATGTGTAGGTGCTCACTTGTGTCCAACTATCCTCCCTATGATTTCGCAACATTCAATACTTTGAAGTTTGCAATGGACAAACCTCTTAGATAATCACAAAGATTGCCTCTAGACATATACTCGTAGACAAGTGCTAAATGTTCCTTCTCCCAGCAGTACCCAACCAAACAAACAAGATTTCTGTGATGCACCTTGGTCAAGCTCTGAACCTGTACTATAAGCAAGAGGAAGGTTAAGTCTGTTAGGCTGTGTTCGATTGTGGGGCTTGGGAACCCCTCCCCACAACACACAAAACGGAGCAGAGGTTTAGCGTGTGATTAATTAGGTATTATCTAAAAAATTTAAAAAATAGATTAATTAATATATTTTAAGGCAACTTTTCTATAATGTTTTATGCCAAAAATACATCGTTTAGCAGTTTGGGAAACTTGAGTGTGGAAAACGAGGGACTAAAGTTGGGAACTTGCACCAAAGAACACGAGGGACTAATGTGTATGAAATCTCACTGTGGCTGTGATTAAGTTATATGACAGTGACAATATTGACTTTGTCTGTGGTGAACTTAGTGGTAACTGAATTTGTCACCTCAGCTAAAAATTGATCAAGCCCATGCGAAGACAATTCAGACCGCATCTTGATAGCAACCTCAGTACTGTCTTCTAAACAACCGTAGTACACATGCCCGAAGCCTCCATGCCCAATTAAATGTTTGAAGTTATCAGTAAACTTCTCTAGCTCCTGATACGTGAATCGGCGATTTTCAGGTTCTTGTAAATGGTCCCAATGATTTGTGATATGTCCAGGAGCACCCCTGAGTTCTGGTACCATGGCAAGATCAGTTGAAGAAGCTAGTGCAAAAAAAAAAAGTATTAGCAATATTACATTGAGTTATTAAACCATAAGAGTCAATTATTTTCAGTACAGACTATTATAACAGAGCATACGTACTATTGAGCTTTCTTTTGGCTCTCCATATCAAATATGTGAGAACAAGTATGGCCAGTACCAGCACTGGGGCCACTACGGAAACAGCCAAGGTAACGGCTCTATTTCTTGACAGGGATGGAGTAACAGGTGTTTTGCACATATTTCCATCAGTCTCATAACTGAAATTACATAAAACTATCAGTCCTGAAGGGTTCAAAAGAATCGTTGTTCAGTGCTAATTTGCCTAAAGATTACTGAAAGAAACCAACGTTAATAAAAATATCCAAACCTGAAATCAATTGATCCATTATTTTTGAGGAGGGAGTATGGAATTGTCCCATTAAGTTGGTTGCATGATAAGTTTCTGTACAAAGAGATATATAATTTTGGCATTAAGCAATATGTCTATGGCTTGTTAACAAACTGCAGACTTTTATAACAACACTGTAAAGTTCCAAGTATAAGTATCAAACCACTTTAAATACCGTCAGGTACTCAGATATCTTTAAAATTACCAAGAGTTTTTATGTTCAGCTTTGGATACTGTGGTACATAGAGAATTACCAGCTCTGTCCCATAAAAAAACAAACCTAGTACGAGATGTGACACAAACCTAATACGAATTCGGACACGTATAGTAACACTTGGCCAAACTGTTAATGAGGTTGTTTTTCATATGATATGATTTCTTTTATAGGTTCAGAACCATGATAACAGTCTTACAGGTGGGTACTATGATAACTGGGATCTTCATGTCCCTGGTTTAAAGTCTCAATTATATATTTCAATTGATTTAGTGATTCTGAATGAAAAATAATAGATACTAAGTGGTACCCTCTCTGGAGTCTCAAGAATAGTATTCCTTCACTACAGGGGGTAGCTTGTAGCCCAAGAGCAGCCAATATCCACTCGCACTCACCCCTAGTTATCATACCTTTAGTTCATTTTTACCACTTTATGAAAGTAAAGCTGCATCACTCTTGATTAGGGGTGAAAACAATACTGAAACGGACGAAAACCATCATTATCGTTTTCGTTTTCATTTTTTTTCGCAATCGGAATCGGAACCGGAAACTCCGGATATGAAAACGGAATCGAATATTATCGAAACCGAAAACGGAGCAAAAACGAACCAACGCGAATACGGTAACGAAAAATTATGAGAATACAAAACCCCTCAAACCAATAAATCCAATTCTCAAGTCTCAACGGTCAACGATTCATCATAAAACACAATCATATAAGTCCAATTTTTAAGTCTCAACAGTACATCACAAAACACAATCTATGGAATAAATTATCTATGTTTAAGAGAGTAATGATGTTGATTAATCCCAATGCAGAAAAAAAATATTCTTATATAACTTCAGATTTGCATAACAAATATATTTTAAAGAATAACAGCCAAACACCATGGTATTCACTATTCAGTGCTTAAAAATGAATCCAGGGTATTTTAGTTAGAAAATTTCTGGAAAGTTTCCGACTTATTCCGAGTTCCGACGGAAACTGGCCTTATCATTTCCGATTCCGTTTCCGAGAAAATATTTTCGAATTCGTTTCCGTTTCCGAAAAATTCCAAAAAAACTCCGACCGACAGATTCCGTTTTTTAAAATAGGTCCAGAATCCGGAAAGTTTCCGTACCATTTTCACCCCTCTAGATAATATTTAGTCGGTGTTTTTCATTTTTAATGGAAGATGATGCATAGTCATGTCAATTGGGAGTTTTAAATGCAGAACAACTGAAGGCAGAGGGGATCTCAGATATACTTACAAGTACTTGAGGGCAGTAAACAATGTGAAAGAATTGGATATCGACCCATGCAATTCGCTGTTGGAAAGATCACTGCATAATAATTTCAAGTAATCCAACAAAATTTAGCCTGATGTATACAATTAATAATGCTAGTACATGCATACCTTTCAAATATACTCACAGAGATATTATCCTCATGATTTTATCACCTGCATCGCTGCATTTCACACCATCCCAAACATATTCATGTGGAAAACAAGGATCACCCATCCAGTTCTTCTTTATTCCATACTCATATTTAATAGCCATGATCGCATCAACTAGCATACGAGGAAAAAAAATAGGAGTTCAAGAGGGAGAGTTGATAATGTTTGTTTAGTGTACCTCAACCGAGACCGACAGATATAGCGAGCTTACAATCTTGGGAGAACGTTGTTGGATTGTCATGGACAATACGACCGTAGACCTCGTAAGCGTTGAGGATGGGGGGCAGAGCTGATATGGCAGTTGCAGCAATGGTGAAGTTATACTTGCCTTCAGAATCGCTGGACCAGCTGCCGGTGACTGACAAACCATTTAGGTACGGTGTACTGTATGGGCTGCTATGCACGCCGTTGTCGATGGAAACTGTAAATTCCCGGGACTTGTTGTTCTGGAAGTCAGCGAAATGCAGGATCACGAAGTGGTTACGAAGAAGGACGTCTACTTGGCCGGAAAAGAAAACTAGTTTCATGGAGTTGCCACTCGGCACAATGGCTTTCTGGAGAACAGGCGAGGGCACCGCAAATTCGGTGCTAGGTTGGATGGTAGTTTGGGTGGAAATGTTTGTCGACAAGGGATGGGCTTCATCTGTGGACCAGAACCGATCGTACTGATCATCAGGGTACCTGTATATGTGAAATTTGATATATAAGACGATTACCAATTAATAGAAACGCAAATTGACTAGGAATACTAGCCATTAACCAATGCATCCACTACACCAGATCCTCACATCTCTGACGGGATACCTGTGACGGGCAAACGAAATGGTCACTGATGACCGTCACCTCTGACGGGTCATACGGGATGTCGTCATCGGTGAGGCATCCAGCTACGACCCATCACAGGTAACTAGTCACCTGTGACGGGTTAAAAATAGAACCCGTCACAGGTGAGGTTACCTCACCTCAAACGGGTTTAAGTCCTAACCCGTTACAGGTGACTAGTTACCTGTGACGGGTCGCAGCCGAACAGCCCGTCAGAGGTGAGGTTTACTCACCTCAAACGGCTTTAAGTCCCAGCCCGTTTGAGATGACTTCTGCCACTGTATATATATATGTCTCCTCTCCCAGCGGGGGCCCACATGAGGACATAAGGTCGGCCGGCTCCCTCTTCTCCACTTCTCCTCTATCTCTTCGACTTCTTCTCTATCTCTCCTCTCTTTCTCTATGCCGTGGCGGCTGGGGCGGCGGCGACGGCCCGGCCGCCAAATCCGGCAGGGGCGGGAGGGGAGGCGCAGCGGCGCCGAGCCAGCGGGGGCGGCGGCGGCGGCCCAGCCGCCAGATCTGGCAGGGCGGGAGGGGAGGCGTGGCGGCGCGGAGCCGGCGAGGGCGGCGGCAGCGGCGCGGCCGCCAGATCCTGCAGGGGCGGGTGGGGAGGCGCGGCGGCGGTCCGGCCGCTAGATCCGGCATGGGCGAGGGGAGGCGTGGTGGTGGACGACGGATCTGGAGCCGTGGCGCCGTGGCGGCCGACGGCGGGTGGGGAGGCGGCTGAGGCCCGCGGCGGCAGCGGTCTCCATCTCTGCCGCCTCTGCCGGCGACGCCTCCAGCCTCCGCCTCCCACCGGCTTTTAACGCCCACGCCGTCGCCGCCTCCTGACCGCCGGTCGCCAGATCTGGCCACCGGGAAGCCGGATCTGGCCACCGGCGCCTTTCCTCGCCTCCTGGCTGCCGATGTCGCCAAGTTTGGCCTCCGGGAAGCCGGATCTGGCCGCCGGCGCCTTCCCTCGCCTCCCAGCCGCCGACGCCACCGCGGATCCGGCCACCAACACCTTCGCCACCTCCACAACCTCTTCCCCGACTACCGGACGCCGCCTCCTCCGCCGCCGACCGATGAACACCATATCCGGCCTCCACAAGGTCGGGGGACGCGGATCCAGCGTCCGCGGCCTTTACCTTCCGCCACCGACCGCCGGCCGCCTCCGCCACTGACCGCCGGCCGCCGGATTTGTTTGTGCTTGATGTTGTTTGTGCTTGATTTGCTCATGTTTGTTGCTTGTGTGGATGTGTAGTTTGTTAAAATGGACATGGATACTTGTGTGATGTATATTGTCAGATTGCTTCATGTGTAGTTGTTTGTTGAGATGTATTTGATTTAAAATACAAAGTTATTGTATCATGTGCATCTTGAGATGTATTTGATTTTTCTTCATTTCGTACATTTGGGCTGAGGCATTTCTTTTTTTTTTGGGTGATTTTTGACATCTGTGACGGGTGAGAACTAAAACCAGTCACAGCTGTTTCGTCACCTTTGACGGGTTGCAAAGAGTCATCCGTCACATGTGTGAGTCACCTGTGACGGCTATATTTTTTAGCCCGTCAAAGGTTTTAATTACCAGTGACGGGCTTTCACCCGTCAAAAGTGAGGTGTAGTCATCAGTGACCACTTGTCTCTGACCAGAACCAAATCCGTCAAAGGTGAGGGTTAGAGCCCGTCACAGATAACTGGATCCGGCCTAGTGATCGCACGAGCTCCATAGTTTTGTTTTCTTAAAAAAATCAATACCATCTAGGTATTTACTAATTCAGACTGCAATTGTTAAATCATCCAAACATGACAATTGAGCTTCCGAGGACAACACAATATGTATTAATTTAAACTTCAAATTATTAAATCATAAAAAACTAATTATTACTCCACACCAACAAGAAATCTATAGTTGATATTATATTATTACTTTTTCATATTTTTTAAATTTGGATTTATTAAATCAAAATGGCATATATAATGATTCAAACGAAGTGCAACTACAGTTTCACACCAAAAACCGGGACTACTTTCAAATTGAATCTATTTTTGAATCAGTGTGCATTTAGGATCCTTTTTTGTCTGTATGAATTAAAATCATTTTATTTTCTTTTGTAAAAATCAGTATCGCTGCTGGTCGTCTCCCAAACATAGCTGGTAATGTGGAACCGCGAGTAATGCCCAGTTTGTAGTGCGTTGTTTAGCTAAATTAATAAAATCAGAAAATAGCTTCAAGTGATATATTGGTTAACGTACAACTGACTAACTGAGCTGCAAAATGTACAAGATCCAAGGAAATTAAGAACATATATACCTTACTAAATTGTCATCGTCAGGGCTAGATCCCACGTTGCTCCGAACATAGAGGGAGAGTGACACATTGCCCATGACAGCCGGGTAGGGCAAGATACCGAGAGGCCTCAACTCCACCGTGGACACGAACGGCGTGCCCTGGCCGATGTTGATGAGGCAAACCGGCGCCTAGCTCGCCCATGCCACGAACACCGCTTCGTGAACATTATAACCATCATTTCCGTCGGTGGTGTCTATACTCACGGTGTCCCAGTGTTTCACACCAAGGGTAAGGTTGAATTTTAGCGATGGGTTGTCCATGCCGTCGTAGTTGCCATACAAGAAATCCAGCCTGACCAAGTACTTCGACCCGATATGGGTGGGCAGCGAGTAGCAGTTGCGCTGACCCTTGGCAGATGGGAAGCTCCTGACCGTGTGGAGAGTACGTGTGTCAGGGCCCCACCAGCGATTGCGGTATACGGTGGTCACCTTCTGATTCTCGCCGCCGTCGATGTACGGGCCGTCTGGGACGTAAGTGAGGCCGGTCAGGTCGCCCAGGTAGCTGCTGTCTGCCTCCAGGCCGCAGTCAATGCTTATGAAACCTATTGCCCAAAGAGAAATGCCATAAAAAATTTTTAATCTCCACCTGTTAGTATAGAAGCTAACGTGGTAACTTCTTTGTTTAATTTCTTAAGGCAGCCTCCATACAATATGTCCCAATTATAGGTCTATTACTCTTCTAATTCTACACTCTCCAGATGTTAGGTCTCAACTCAATGGTACTGATTTCTCCCACCTCATCAACCCCATTACAATTCCTTCTTTCTACTAACATGTCCTCATTATAGCATAGAAACGGTATTCCGAGCCAACACTAATGTTCATAACAATAAACAGCAATGATACTTCAATTATCACTGTCGGTTCTCGATATGAACCAACAATGATATGATTTGAAAATACCAACCAACAGTGGTATAAATTGAAAATATCACTGCTGATTCATAATAGAAACAGGCACTATGCTTAACGGACCACATAGTCTGGCCCATGTCACACCCTGAAGTTCTCCTCCCAAGCCTAAAATTTAATTTATAAATGACCCTAAGAAAATGCCGGTACAAATCAAGAGAAAACCCTAATAAAGTAATGCAAATAATAATCGAAACTGGCATGTGGAATTTTTCTGGAGTTCTACATATCGAAATTCGCTAACAAGATTTTTATTGGAATTTTCAGAGCCCTAGAGATAATTTTAACCAATTCAAATTGAGCAAGCAATATTTTAATTCCAGGGAAAATCCTTTTCTTCCTTTTTCTTTTTCTTTTTCCCCTTTTCTTTTCGAATGGGCCGCCGACCCATTCTCTCCCTCTCCCCCTCCCCCGCTGGGCCGGCCGCAGGCCGAGGCCCAGCCAGCCCGCCCGCCTCCCTCCTCTCCCGGGGACGCCGACAGATGGGGCCCACCTGTCGGGTCCTTCCCCAACCTCCGGCCGTCACCGCCGCCGCCGAAACCGCCGCCCCGCCTCCTCTGAGCCACTTCGGCCACGCCGCGTGTGCTCCCCGCCTTCCCCACGCCCACCCCCCTCTCTCTCTCGCCCGCGCCCTCAACCGAGATGGGCGGGATTCGTTTTTTGAATTCCCCCACTCTCTCTCTCTCTCTCCCCACCTCCCACCTCCCACGTCGCCGGCGAAATCGGGAGCACCTAGGCCGTTCCCGACCTTCCCGCCCCTATAAAATCCATCCCCGCGTCCTCCTCCTCGCTTTTCCTTTTGCCGCCGGCCTCTCCCGAGCTCTCCATCGCCCCCACGCCGTGTAACCACTCGCCGCCGCCGCTCCCGCTACTCCGGCCGCCGCTAGCCGCTGCTAGGGTCGCCGCCGCACCGCGCCGTCGCTGCCGTCGGGTTCGCGAGGCCGAACTCCACCTCGTCCGCCGCTCCTCCGTCGAGATTCGTCGCCGGAACCCGCATCCCCTCGCGCTCAGGTGAGCCCTACCCCTACCGCCGCCTTCGGCCATGGATGCCGGCCGCCGTGGTTCATCTCCCTCCCTCTAATCTCTCTCTCTTCCTTCCTTAGGGCATCCCGAAGCTCGTCCGCCCGTCGCCGCCGTCTTCCCGTGGCTCGCCGTCGCCGTTAGCCATCGTCTCCCTTAGCGCCGGCCACTCGCGGTGAGGCATTCATCTCCTCTATTCCCCTTCCTCTCCCTCCTAGTGCCAAGCCGCCGCTTCAAATCGCGCGCCGTCGCTTTCGACCGCCACCGCCGCCTCCCGTGCCGCCGGTCGCCGTCGCCGTCGACCGCGTGCCGCCGCCGCTAGCCATGGCCGGCCGGCCGGCTTTGGAGCCAAGCCAAGCCCGGCGGCCACTTCTGCCGCCACCGCCCGATCGGCTCGGGGCCGATCTGGGCCGTCAGTCCCGTGGACCGGTGGTGGACCACCCGCGTGGTCCCGGTCCATGGTGGACCGGCCCCCTTGAGCCGCTGCCGAGTGGGGCCGTGTGCCGGCGCCCTTCCCCTCTCTTCCGAGCCACTGACCAGTGGGACCCGCCTGTCGGCGCCGCCCCCCCTGATGACGTCAGCCCTGGGAATTATGGCGCAATAAATTATATAAGGGCTTTCTGTTATAGTAATAAACACAGTGAATCTTCTAAAATTCATATGTAATTCATCCGAGCTCCGTTTAAGCCCATTCAAGTCGCAGTAAATCAAGAAAAATGTGTAGAATCCATTAAAAATGGTTTTGTTCTCTGTTTCAGTAGTCTTATAGCCTGTTTG